TTTTTGTTGCTTTTTTAATTGTTATTTTTTTAAGAGAATATAATGAGAAGCCAAACGTCAGACTTGATTGCTCCCATCTCACTGTCCAGCAGACACACCGACTGCAGGACAGTAACTCGGAATGTTCATTGCTGCAGTGAAGATTACGTTATGTCTGTAGGAAGTTTTTGTTCCAGTCAAATGGATCACATCGTCTAGTTCCCTGTGCACATGTCTAAAGCAGACATAAGTTACATACGGGCTTTCAGTTAAGAAAATTCATGTATGATTCATAATGTTAGCACGGATTTTGGTGGATTTTTTTTAATTTTATTTTTTGAGAGGTTTTAAACCCAGCTGTATAAGTGGCCAAGAATAATTTATTCTTAGAATACAAGGAGTAGAGCTACTAAGAGCTCGTATATTCATTGTAGAACCCCTTTGTTTAGAGGAAAGACTTCACGTTGTTTGCTTCAGCACTCTGCAAGGATTTGCAGTGTGCCTGCTTATGCCTGTGCACTTTGCTTGTGTGAAATTACTCTGTCTCTAAACACATTGCTGTTGTCTCTGTGTCTTGCTGCCTGATTCATCAAGAAATTGGCTGGCCTATCAAACCTTTTTTTTTTTCTTTTTTTTTTTTCTCCCCTTTAAATTGCATGGTAGCCCTTGGATTGCTGGAAGGAAATGAGCAGAAAGTTAATTCTGATGATCTTTTTCCTTCCACCAGAATTCCTGATCCTATTGAATATTCTGTACTCCACATCTGTGACAGCACAATGAGCCTTTGTTCATTTTTTAATCTAAAGAGAAATCTGCCGTGGGAGGTTGCACAGGGTGATAGCAGCCCAATTTAAAAGTCTCAATTATTTATTTTTAAAATACTTGGCATCTGTCTATGGAAAATTCACTTGCTTGCTTTCCCGTCTCCTAGAATTGCTTTGAACTCATGCACGTCTTTTGGGATCTATCAAATGCTCTTTGTGGCTTTTCTCTCGTAAGTGCTGAATGAGTTGAGCCATGATGGTCTGTATCGGAATATAAACTTTCTGCCTTTGTAATGGGGCAATAAGAGGCATGGTGGTGTCTGTCTACATGCCCATCCTGCCAAGCAGGGAAGGAGCACCCAAACAGAGTTCAGAACAGTTTATTTGTGGACAGGTGATGGGTAGAGGTTGTTCATGTGATGTGTGCTCCATTTTTGCAAGCTAGTGATGTTTTGTAGGGAGCGCTGAGTTATTCAGAAGCAATTGTACTTAAAATCAGAACTGATCTCTGATGGGCACTGATTTTCATAATGCACGTGTGCATTTTGGGCAGCCAGTCTTTGTAAGACCAGAGTAATAGCAAACCAGTTCTGAGTCAAAATCCAATAACCTCAAAGTGGAGCCCAAATTTTATTGGGGAATAGCTGCAGTTTGGACGAATATATTTGAAGAAAGGTGTTTGTGCAGAAGTAAGCTGACCCGAGCAGGAGAGAACTGCTGCCCTATGGCACAGTGCAGGACTGCAGGTGGGCAGTAAGAGCATGGAGGCAATGTGCTCCAGGCTGGGAAACAATTCAGGTGTTGGATGTGTGTGCTGCATTTCTTTGTAGAAGAGTTGTTGCCTGGAAAAACGCCTGCAGTGCTTGGAAACAGTAACAGCTGGACATATTTCTGGATAGAAAAGAGTAGAAAACAAGACGTGGTTTTGTAGGATGACTGCAATTATCTCCTGGGTTATGGCAGTGAGGGTTTTTTTGCTAATCCTCTGTTTTAAGGCACTTGTGACATTCTGAAGATTTTCTCCTTCAGTGAAATTTTTTCAGGCTTAATCTCAGCTGTACAGCGAATCTCTCTCAAGTTTGAGTGAAAACAATTCTACTCTTTCAGAGTGTGAAGAGTGTCAAAGCATGAAGTTTTTCCATTAGAAGCAAGCGTTGCCCTCACTTTGCCTTGGTGAAGCTCTGTAACTGCAGTCGTCGTCAGTAGAATTTCGGGATGGTGAGAGTCATCCTGCAAGAAAAGCCCCTTTATGTGCCTCACACAGGTCTCTTTCAGTTTAGCCTTATCACAACACTGAAATTTTCGGGTTGCTTGGGCTCTTCCTTTTTTTTTTTGTAATAGATCTTCACAAGGTATATGCTTGCTGCATTGCTGCGATTAAGAAAGCCCATGTAAGCCTTTCCTGGCCTTGTTAGCTGTAGCTGGTCTAGATGTGAAAGGCTGATAAATGTAATATATTGTGCCATAGAGAACAGGGCTCTTGTGCCCCCTGGGACCTGTGCCACTGGAAGGTGATTTGGAGCACTGACAGCAAAGAAGTGAGGAGCAGAGCGTTCTGATTGCAGTTAGTGTCAAGCTAAAGAAACTAGAAAGGCATTGCAGGCTTTCCGTGGCTGAGGGATTCAGAGCTGTTGAAGAAGATAGATTTTTTTTAAATTCTGGAAATTAGAAGCTGTGTGAAATCATACAGAGAAATGTGTGAAACAGTGGCTTACAGTGCTGAAGTCAGGCAGCGGCAGGATTCAGGTTGGATGTGCAAGCTTGAATGATTCTCCATTATGAATTTCACAAATAACGTATCATAATAAGATCCAAATTTTCATTAGCTTGAATGCTCCTTTGTTGTATTGTGTACTACTGCTTTGAATGTACCAGGCAGAGACAGTAGAAGTCATTTATATGCAAAGTGCACCATACATTGTATATACTAATTATATAATAAGGAGTTATAATGAAAATTTTCCAGCATGTTTAGGCCACTGAAGTATGCAGTGAAATTAATTTTATGGCTAACTGTCTTATTCCTGATTTGTACTTAAAGAATATTATGCCATCCATGGAAAATACTAAACAAAGTGTCTACCTATAAATGCATGTAAGATTATAGATGTTATGTAAAAAAGAACAGAAATCTTTGGTACATTTGCGTTTTATTGTAAATTGTGGGACAACAGATGAGACTGTGTTATGGAAGAGAACAACATGGGATTACATAATCAGAAAATTGTCATAATACTAATGCTGAGGTGTCCAGGTGTGGCTTCTTGAGCAGCTTGAGTCGTGCAGCTTTGAGGGTGTAACCTTTTCATCTTCTTAACATTGTTTTTGCAGTGTGTGCGTGTGCAAATTCTGTCAAAGCAATTCCTGGGAGGTTCCACTCCTAGAATGTTCCTTCTAGCTGTATGAGCGAGTAAGGAAGCTGCTGTATGACAGATGACGATAATTTTTCATACAAGACAGTTCCCCTTGACTTGATGGATGCAAGGAGAGGAACCACGTTCCCTGGAAAACCACCAGGGAGCAGCGGGAAAATGTTTCAGTGTGTTTGGTAATCAAGGCAGAGTGTGGTTCTTGATTAGTCTCTGAAATTGCACTGCTGCGACGAGCGATCTGAATTAAGCGTTTTTTTACCAAAGCCCTTTGCACTGCTATCCAAAAGTGTATTGTAAAAATTAATTTCCTTAAAATGCCGTGAGCAAAATCGATCCAAAATGACTTTGGCATATGCTGAACTCACTCTGTGATACTTTTCTTCATAAGCTCCTATGAGGGCCATATAGTGAGGTATTTTATATCAGGTATACCTCTTTTTAGGCTTTATTTTAAAGGGGAGTAAAATGTAATTTGCAAGTGTTTCGTGAGCTTTTGTCTGCGCTGACTTAATTGAAGTCTGAGCAATCCCACCTGAAACAAACTGTTTGTAATTTCTGCATCAGTGATCAGTGGCACCTCAGCCTGCGTGTGTTCAAAGCATGAGTTCGGACCTGGAGGCAGCACCAACTTTGTGAGATATTGCCAGCATCCCATTGTGCTGCGAGTGTGCTGGGAATAGGGAGGCCGAAGTAGGGGGAGAAAATTGCTTTCCAGTTTTATGAAGCTAGAGTGAGTGCCAGATGATTTTTTTCCTTTTTTTTTTTTTTTTCCTTTTTTCTTTTGTGAGCAGTTTGGAGTGTGGTCTTATTTTATCCTCCTGTTGCAAAAGTACCTCCAGCTCAGAAGAGACCCATCTTCATCTTGGCCTTCTCTCTGTATGGTGATGTTTTATTAGATATATAGGTGCTTTGCCAGTATTGTACATTACAGAGAGTGTATAGGGCCGGAAGCCTGTGAATCAGTAAAAATGAGTGGGCCCACATTTGGGAGAAATGAAAGGATATCATCTCATCTGGCCATACACAAGATCTGGGAAAAGTATATTTGAAGAAGGCAGGATTTCTCATGCTTTGCCATCTGAGAAAAGCCACAGCTGATGCCATCAGTGGGTTTCCTTGCAGACAGACTTACAGGAGGGGGCGATGCCAAGCAAAGTGCCAGGAGACATGGGCAGTCCAAGCAGACCTATAGCTGCATTCGGCTGCACCGTGGGACTGTTCCTCATCACCCAGTAACGATGTGAAAATTGCCCTGAACAGTGCAATTTGTTATTTGTCCAAAATGCCATCAGAATATCCATTTTTGTCTCGCTTATACTTGTTGTTGTGCACTAAAGCTTTGGAAGTAGAAGCCATAAAATGAAGTCAGAAAGAATTCTGACCCAAACTGATAGTCCTGAATATCAGAGGCTCATGAAAATGCATTGCTACAGAGGCACACTTTTATCTTACAAATTGCTTTAGGAGTAAAGGAATATCTCTAAACACTGAAATCATTTTCAAAAATTCTCTATGGTTTTTGAGATAAAAATGTCTAGCACATTTAACGGAACAGGAGATGAGCCTGCATTGGAAAAAAAAAAAAAAGAAATGAAGAGATCCTGGCAAAAAAAGCACAAAGTTTGCCATCCAAACTGACTGGCCATACTGTTTATCCTTTGGTTTGTTATTAAAATGCATTGCGTTGACTCTGTTCCCTGGTTACTGTCCCAGTAGGGCGGCCATGCTATTAATCAAGATGCTAGTTAAACAATATTGTTCAGCAGAATTCTTCTATCTCCGTTTCATAACACTGGCTGTATGTACAGCCTATATGCACTGCCTCACTTGAAAGCTGGATGAATCAACACTGACGTAGTTTTGTTATTGTTTTTAATTTTTACAGATGCAGATTTATTTCTACAATCCCGATGACTTTGACAGTTTTGGAACAGCAGTTCTAGAAAACAGGGAAGTAGGAGCCATGGCCGTGTTTTTTCAAGTAAGTTTAAACAAGGGTTATATCCATAAACCAAAGCTTTCACCAAGTACTGTTTAATTCATTGAATTGTTTCAAGTTTAATGGATGCATCTGTTTTCCTGTTCCTACCTGTCTAAGTGAAAAATATTTCATATTGTCTATGTGTGATTTAAAATGTAAATAAGCATATTTAGAAATGTAATGAAGAATTTTGCATCAATTGTTCCGATTTTATAGCCGCTTTGGAGATGCAGATTGAGAACACATTTATCATGGAACTTCCTTCACTGCTGAAGCACACTGCTCAGGTCTCCAGAATACTAACAAACTGCTGTGAGCTGATTCTGCGTAGAGAAAACTTAAAATTCAAACATAGCTTGGGAGAAAATTAATCAATACGTTTCATCTGTCTCATCTGCAGCAGCTTCTTCTAAATTGTCATAGTAACAAGTTCTTGAGGAGACCTGGTTTCCAAATGAGTGGATTTACGCATTCCCTATTTTGAAATGCATCCTCAAAAACATGAATGCTCAGGGAGCTCATCTGTTGGTTCAGGGTGCAGCCTGCTGATCACGGTGGAGGGCAGGTCAGGTCACCTGGTGGTTCAGCAGCATGGGGTTGGGTCAGGTTTGATCAGGAATAGGGTTTGTCCTTACACTGGCATGAGGGCGAGCTGAATGGAGTGAGTTGGAGCAACTCTGTATCACTAAACTTAGGAGAAATTTCTTCTCAGGAAGAGCGGTGAGGAATTGGAGCAGGCTGCCTACGGAGGTGGCAGAGGTGCTCAAGAAAAGGGTGGATGTGGCACTGCGTGACATAGAGCAGTCACAGGCATGGGCTGACAGTTGGACTAGGTGATCTTGGTGGTCTTTCCAACCTTGATGATTCTATGACAAGCTCCCCAAATTAATAAGTAGCTAATGAAGATTTTGAAGTAGTTCAAGGTGTTGCTTTTTCAAAGGAGAGAAGATGAGGGAGGGAAGAGCAAGGGAAAACATCAGTCCTTTGTGAGGTTTCACACTAGCTCTTACTGTGGGAGAAAATGATCTTACTGTTATGTCTGTGAAGTTAGATTAAAAAGAACATGCAAGTACCCATATGTAAATACCTCCTTTCTCTATGATGTTAGAGTGACAGGTGTGACTGTACTGCTTAAATTAAATAAGGTTGTCTTTTTTTTTTTATGTCACTGCCTTTGATCAAAAGCTTTGATAAGGATAAAAGGGCGAATCCTCGTGTTGCATACATTGCTGCAACTCTGCTGACATCAGGCTAGTGGAAGTAGCTAGCACATTAAATTCATCACTGCTGATTTCTGAGCGCTTCTGTGGCGTTTCATGTTAGAGTGCAGTTGGTGGAGCTGTGATAATTTACAGTGGCATAGCAGGATGCGTCCCCAGACTTGTTAATGGTGATGTGCTGGCGGAAGGGTTGGGCAAATTGAATTTGGCCTGACGTGACAACAGTTTAGAAATAGAACAACCAAAGTCACTGTTATGTGATTTATGTCATGATGAAGAGATGCTGTGTGTGTATGGTGTCAGAAGGAGCAAGTGCTATGTCACGGTATGCAATGCACGTTCCAGCATAGTGTGTCTAAATTTAATTGCCTGAGTTTAATTGCAATTCACTGCCCAAATATGCTTCACCTAGGCTGCATGAAATGCTGCCCCATGTCACAATGTTTCCTAGTCTACATGTGACATTTCTGCCAAAAAAAACAGTTTTTCAAGGATCTTCACAACAAGTGGGACTGTTTTGTATTCCTTTTCCCCCCCCCCCCCCCCCCCCCCCAAAGCCAGGCGCTGCGTTATCAAGCATCCCACTTTGTACAATTTTGAGGGAGCCATTGAACTCACTAAAAATACCCTCAAACAATCTGTAATTCTGTTTAAAAAAAAAAATCTTTGATTGTAAGAGAGCTCAGACTCCTTGAGACCACAACCAGGTGTGTTGGTCCCCTGAGAGAACCAGAAATCTATACTTTTCATCATTTCTAGCCCTGCAGGCCACAGGACATTGGGCTATAAAGTCCTGATGATGGTGCAGCTGGGCTCCACTGCTCCAGGAGCCATGAAATCTGAAGCCATTACTGATAAAAAGACTGTTCTCTTCCAGAGTGATGGGAGTAAGGTAAATCCTTGGCAAAGTGACCCAGCAACAAGTCAGTTTGTGGCTGAAAGGAAATGGTTTTCTTCCTTTTTTTTTTTTTTTTTTTTCAGCTCCTTGCCTCTGGGTTGAAGTGATAGATCAGCAGTGTGCCATTAAACCTGTCTGTATCAGATGTTCCTCCTGGGTAGCTCTGCTCTGAGACAGAAGGCTGCCTGGGAAGATTTGTAGAGCCCAGAGCCCTCGTGCTCAGAGGGCTTGTGCATTTTCTGGCCCATGAGAGGTGTGGGGTACTCAATGTGGGAGCTGCCCATCGTGAGGCCAGAGCTTGTCCCATGGAAGTGAAGATTTTGTGCTTAGGATTATTAATTGATGGTGGTAATGCTTTGCAGATCTATACAGTGTTAGACTGAGGAGCTCTGCGATGGTGACCCACAGCTCGGGATTTTGTTGGCTGTTTTGTTCAGAAATACCTGGTGTTCCTTTAGCCTTACTCCCCAGGGCACAAAATAAGCCAGTATTTCAGGCAACTAATTTCAAAACTGCCTTTTGAAACTGGCTCTCAGAACTGTTGAAGCAAATGTCCTTAAGATGTCCACGTCCTTATTTTGATAAACAGTTTTAACTTTCTGAGGACTATTTTCATAGTCTGCTGTTTTCCTTGTCTATAGCCCCATCTCTAACTCAGTTATTTAGAACACAACATTTAAGAAATATAGTAATACAAGGCACACTGTTTTGTTTGCGTTGTTTTTGTTTGTTTGTTTGTTTTTAAAAATATATTGGAACACTGAATTGCAGGTGCTTTTCTGTGTAAACATTTTAATGTAGAAATTATTGGCTAGGTTTGCCATTGAGTCAAGACTTGGATTTCGACTAATGTGTTAATGCTGTGTTGGAATGAATGTGCATTGCACTGACTGAATTCAGGGTCTGGCATGCGTGTTTTGTTTGACTGATGTTCACAAATGTTCCCTTGAAAATCAGGTTCTCCAGTGAGTGAACATTATACTGAGCTGTATAATTATTGGTGAAACATTAAATAATTAAGAACCCTCTTTCCTGGTTTTTAAATAATTTAACTTAGACTATATAAGAATTTTCCATTTTGAATTCACTGTTTCAAGGGCAATTTCCAGGTAAAGTACATTGGTTCTGAACTTGGATAATTGAAGCACTTGGAATTATACCATAATTGCTGATAATCGCATATGTGCTTTTCTCTTTGCTTTCATTATAAATTCTGTTGATAAATTCTCTTTTTGATGCCATGCTGCAGGTCAATTGACCTGACAAATGAAGAACATTACTAGCTAAAATTGGGAAACAATGCTTGCATTTCCAAACTGCTGTAAACGCACATCTCAGTAGTTCACTGTGGGCAGACGCTCAGATGGTGTCACATGAAATAGCCGTGGGGATTCTGCCGCAGGTATTTTCAATTTGCAAATGTTTTGCTAGTCTGAAATCTTTAACTGGGTTCTGAAAGCTGATTTTTGCACTGGCGTGCATGTTTTAAAGTGAAAAGGCATATGGAGAAGAAGGCTCCAAAGATACGTGGACCCTTTTCTGACCATAGCATCACTTCAAGCAGGGTGCTAGGGAACATTGTACATGCAACAAATAACGAAGCAGCAGATGATTTAGCTCCACTGAAAATTCTTGCAGACTTCTGTTCTGTAGCTCATTATTTGGGACAAGATGAAGTGCCTCACTGTGCAAAACACAAAAAGCAAGCGGAGAAACCCTTGACCATGCTCTATGCTCTATACTCTACCTCTGAGGAACCTCTCATTCTCAGAGAGGCCACAAGTCCACAGGAATGTGACAGAGTAGCAAAGTGACTTAGGCACCTGTCATCTCTTTTTGGTCGAATTATTTTAAAAGCTGTTCAGCTGGAACAAGCTGAAATGGAAAGAAGGAGCTCCATTCTGCTGATGCCAGGAAGTATAGCAGTCATTCAGACCATAAACATTCTTCACTAAGGGCCAGGGAATCTGTGGAAGAAGTGACTTTTCCTTAAAGCAAGAATTGGCATGGAAAGCACTCACTGTAGTGCAAGAAGAGGGAATCAAAATATCAAAATACAAAGCAGCAGGGTAAGCCAAAAAGCTCCTGTGTTGGGTGGGTTTTTTTGTTGTTGTTATTGTTAAAGAAAACTTGTTTGTGTTTTTTAAGCAAAGATCAGAGTGCTTTGGAAAGAAATAAGGTTAGCCCATGACTTCTCTCGGCCTCCTTGGCAGAACTAGACCTGTCAGTGTTGGGGTTACTTGGTGCATCTCAAGGTGCAGCCGGTGCTGGTGGAAGGCTCATAATTTCCTATCCATTATTTGTAGCCAGCAGCATCCTCTTTGTCTTTACTAAAGGCTTCAGGATTTGCAGAGGCGGCGACACTGCAGTGATGGGACTCATTGGTGAGGCCCACCCGTCCGCCAGGACAGGTTGAGGAGCCAGCAGGACACGTCAGTCTTGATTTAACAGCTCCTACCTTGAATAGTTCATGTGGGTGCATAATTTCAGCCCGGTGAGGTTCAGCTCATTCTTAATAATATTCTCGCTCCAGGCCTCAATTAATTGTCAGGCCGAGCTGGTTTTGAAGCAAGCCAGGAGTGGAAGGGAAGGCACAAATCTCTCTGTTTCCTGAATCATCCATTCATACACATTCGTGTAATATATATTTATAAGTCACATTTAAAATGAATAGTTACTTGGATTAAATGCATTCAGAAATATTGCACAGCCCAGTTTTAACCATCTAGCAATATAATTCATTGCACACTTCACTATTGCTTTATTAAAGCCAAACTTAAATGTGTTCAAAACAAACATATTGCTTTTGCGTTTAAAATATTCATCTTTTGGGCCTGTGGTAGATTCATTACAGCAGAGAATACTTCATTCTTTGATTACTG